CATTTATACATAAATATATATAAATGCAAATATACTTTATTTCTGATTTTTATTTCATTTTTTTCTTTTGAAAATATTTTATACAAAATATACTTTTTTTTATAAATATTAAATTATTATTATTCTTGTATATATAATATATTTAGTAAATAATCAAGATATTTGTGTATATATTAATATATTTAGGGCAAAAAATACCAAAATACATACATTTTTCTTTTATTAATATTTAACCTCAAAAAATACTTTTTATGAACATACTTCATTTTATTTTATTTTTTGTACATAATAAATAAATACTTGTATAAATTAAATAAGATATATATTTACTTAATAAAAATTAGGGTTTTACCCTTAAAACATAAAAACTCCAAAAATATTACTTTTTTTATTTTATTCATTTTTGTTTATTGAACATAAAAAACATCCTTTTTCCATACATATGAAAACCCTTTTTGCATTTTGCATCTTTATTTTATTTTCCATTTAATTTATGTAATTAATTATCTTGTAAATATTCCAAAATTGATGTAATAGCTAGGTTTAATTTCCTTGTCTAAATATCCCCCCATTTGAACATTTGTACCCCCCCTTCCCATATTGTGTTGTAATAGTGTAAGAATTTTACTTTTCGCACTTTAATGCTTTCTAAATATACCATGCTAGAATTAGGGTTTGTATGCAAATAAAAAGAACAAAATAGTTTGACCTAATTTCAAGATAATCAAGCATGAAAATGGACAACACATATCACACTTGCACCCCTAGGGTATTCCACTTGTTGCCTTCAAATAAATGGGCCATATTGTATGTTGGGTCTCTTTGGACAAAACAAATACTAATCAATTGATCATAGTCCCTCAATGACGCTTTCAAAAGTTGCCTAAAAAATGATCAAAGTCCCTTAAAAGAAAATTGCCCAAAGATACTTAGCACCATTGCAACTATGGTCTAAACGATGACCCGCGCCCGTCCCTTTCACATCCTAACACAAGATTATCCACCAAATGCAATGGTGGAACAAAATTGTTAAAAGGGTTAAAACATAGCATAAATCTTTGAGAACTTTAGGGTAGATAGCTCTTAAGTACTTGTCAATTTGCAAAAGAAAACACTTGCATATTTTCAAACCACACTTCACAAACACTTTCAAAACAAACTTTCAAAGAAACCTTGAAACATCTTTTCAAAAAAGACAAACACCTTTTGTAAAACATTCGAGTAAAGAATTGTTACAAGGGTAGCCTAGACAAGGCATCTTTTTCAAAACCTTTTCAAAACCACACACAAAGCACCATTTCAAACAATTGAAAACCAAGGCAAGTTGATCTAAGCAAGTACTTAAGAGCCCATGGATAACCATGGATAGAAAGGGTGCTAATACCTTCCCTTTCTATAATCTACTCCCCGAACCCAAGAAAAATCTCAAAGGTTTTTGCTGTGCTTTTTAAACCTTTCCTTAGGATAAAATAAAAAGTCGGTGGCGACTCTTGCTCAACCGAAACATTTGCGAAAACAAACGTAAAACCATAGTCAGTTCTCCCACCGTATCACAATACCCAGCCGATTGAATTAGTGCAAAATGCACCCTAAATGGTTAAGAAAATGGCTTAATGGATGGTAACTCCTATTTTTCTTTCCTTTCATTTAAAACTTTCTAATTGATTAATTTTAGGTCAACCAATTTATTGGTGCATTATGCTAATTGATTGGCCTATCAATTTGAGCTACAAATATTTTTCTTTTTTGTGAAAACCTCTAGCCTATAAATAAAGGTTTCTTCCCTGATATTTTCACATTCAAAATTATGAGTTCTCATATCTCACTCCTCACTCTCTCTCTAAAAATATTTTCTCACTTTCTCTCACTTAGAAATTTAGTCATAGTGCTTTTGATAATTGTCTTTTGCAAGTATGACATTTTTGTAATTTTGAAAGGGTAGTATTGTAAATTCCCCAAGAATATTTGTTACCTTGGGTGAATAGTTTATCTATTTAGGGAATTTTTATTTGGGATCAAAGCTAAACCCTATAAAAACTTTGGTTTGGGGATTTAATTACTAAGTCGTCGGTTCGGTTTGAAGGCTTGTCCTGTTCAAAACCTTTCATTAGTTTGAGATCACACTGGTATTCAAATCTCAAGTTGGTTCATGGTTATCTTGTATAAAACCTCAATTTGGTTTGTAAGCTCAGTCTGTTTTAAAAGCTTGTTAAGGTTAGATATAAGCCCAGTATAAAACCTCATAGGTTCATGGTCAGCCCGTCAAAATCCCAATTCGGTTAGTGAGCTCAACCCGATGTTAAAAGCTCTCCTTGGTTTGAGATAAGCCTATACTCAGCTCGGCTTGGGGACTAACCTCTTTAAGTTAGTGTTTGGAAAGAAGACTAATTGCTTCAATCAATCGTTTGGAAGGAAGACTAACCGCTTCTTTCATATGTATGTTGTTTTGTTGGAAATTAGCTAGAAACTTGATTTTCTATGTATAAGAGGGTTCGAGAGTTCAACCTACTAAAAGCTCATAAGTTTATTGGATACTCTCAAGATCAAATCTTAGAGACAAGACTAAGTTTTCTTGATTTAACCTATATAATTCCTAGTGTCTTCTTTCTTCTCTTAACTTTTACTTTCTTCATTTAATTTTTAGTTCCTGCTGCTAATTTCTAAAATCTTGTAAAATCATTTTAAACTCCGAAAATAAGCCAAATTTTTTTTCAAACTACCGTTTTCTAAAACACATTATTCACCCCCCCCCCCCCCCCCCCCCCCTCCTCTTGTGTGTAGAATCTCATATTCAACACTTTCCTACTTTAATTTTAGGCTTACAGCCATATGTTTCTCTATCATCATATGTCTGAAACATCCACTATCTAAGTACCAGGATATGTAGATACCATTTCTTTTTGGATCCATTAGTGCTAGTCCTAGAGGGTTTAGTATTCTTTTAAAACTTGTTAGTTTTCAACACTGAGCAAAATGATTTATCAAATTGTCTTTTAACCCATCTAAAGAAACTAAAGAGGTTGATGCTTCTAGGCTATGAAGTTAACTGGTAGAATTATTCATTGTACATCCAATTCATTTTTTGTTTTTCTTGCTTGTATCATACATCATTGAATACATCTTGTTTTCCCTATTCCGTTAGCTACGAACTCTTAAAAGAGCATTTTCATTTTCATCAAAATTAAAGCTACATGGTACAAATGATTGAGATTTTTATTTTTCAAGAAAAAATGTATAATGTTTTTTTGAAAGGTTTTAAACTTTCTATATTTCCTTTGAGCATGATTAAGCAGGTCTTTCAAAGTATATATTCTTTCAAAGTATATATTAATTCACATCTAGAAATATTATAAAATGTCTCATCTTCTGGTTCATCATATGTGTCTTAGCCACTACCAAAGATTGTAGCCATCATTGCTACATATGATTCTTTTTCATCCAATTCTTCTTCAATGTAATCCATGTATCCACGAGAACCTTCTTCTTGCTTCCTTTCGAGTTACCATCTGTGGGTTCCTCCTTTTGAAGTGTTGAATAGTCATTCTTTAAGTATTTAGGCTTCTTGTAACCGTAACATACCTTATGGTCTTCTTTGTTGGGTATGGATGTTGATCCTTTGTATGGTTGAAAGTTCCTTATAGGTAAAAAAAAAAATTTGTACAAATTTTAGATACTTTCTGGGAGAAGTGTTACCTCCTCGTCATATTTCCTTTCTACACTTTCATCATCTGAGGTATCTTTTTCAAACTCTACTTTTTCAACTTGAACAACTTTGGTTTTTTCCCTTTTACTCTTAGACTTCTAGCCAACTTTTCATATTTTTGAGAGGTTCATATGCATCTAGTTGAAACTCGTGACTCCTTTTAGAGAAAACAATTTATTCAAGTGAAACATCGTTCAAATATTTTGTCTTTTGAATAGATATAACTTTAGGTCTCCTTCTGATGGTCAGACTTATAATAATCTTCTTTACATAGGAAGTTTCCATTTTTAGGTATGTTCTATTTTCTAACAACATTAAGATATTTGCAAAGGTAATAAGAAAAATATACAGGTTTTCATAAGATTCTTCAATATTCTGGATCTTAATATGGTCAAAGGATTATTATTACAAATGTAATATCTACCATAGTGTTATTCCTAATTCTAGGCTCTAAATATTTGTGGAATTATCGATAAGTTTGCTTGACACATACAACTTCAATGATTCAGTCAAATCTTAGGATCTTTGGTATAATTAAACTTGATAAGATGTTGGTTGACAGTTGTCAATCTACAACTCCTTGAGGTAGGGTGTACTTGAGAATACTATGATGATCTAGTTAGTCAAGATTGTGCTTTTTAGATGTAGGGTTTAAATTATATGTACCTGAACTGAATCATCAGTTAGTTAGGTTGTATCGAAAGGGGTTCAAGATTTTTACTTCATATAATCTTCTTTGAGACAGTTATCTCATTAGATAAATGTAAGGGGGTCATTTAATCCTTTTTATTTGACGGTTTACACTAATAATTCGACCCTTATCATGTGTGCCTCTAAGTTGTCTATATGATAATTTTAATAAATGCTTGTTACCTAGACAACTCGGTCCAATGTGAATTGGGTTTTGGCCTAATTTTAAACACATGACATTTAGATCAATGTTTAATTTACAATAGTATTCTCACCCTTTGACGAACTTTAAATAAGTATTTTTCATGTTTATACTTTTTGTTAGTGTATTGAGTGTTGCATTTTTCATATAAACCCAATGTGGTTTAAATCTATAATCATAGTAAAATTAATTTAATGAGGATCAAATTTGGGATTAATAATAACAATATTAAGACGTTCCAAAAAAATTAGATAGGTAATCAATTTGAATAATTTGGAAAAAGAAGCTATTGAAATTATGATTTATTTCATTTTTCTAAGAGTTGAATACAAAAGATGAAGCAATCACACCCATTCTTATTAAGATTTGATGTATTATTCTCATCCAAATACGACAACTAATCCATTATATTGCAATTGAAGATGTTCGATGAAGGTGTGTACATGAACAATGGTGGGCAACACATACGACAATAAGTGGGGATGGACAGGGAAATTTTTGTCTGATGCAATCTTGAGGTGTGTTACAGCTTGAGTCTAACTCGGTCACTCTCATGGCTTGTGATTCCATATGCATATCTACATACACAAATCATACAAGAAAATAAGAACAATGTTGTAAAAGAAAAATGAACAAGTTTATTGGTATATACATGCTGAAGTGAAAAATAAAAAGACAATACATCAAAAAAATTCAAATAATAAATTTGGTTTAGACCTGATGCAATGATTAAAAATGCCAACAAGAATGTCAATTTCATAGAAGAATTTCTTGAAGTCTCCATATTTTTCATTGAATATGTTCCTTAGAAGCGTGTTTATATAAACTTGGTAAACTCATCTAAACATTAAATATCATTTATTGATGGATATGAATGAAAGTGTAAAAGTAAATATTATACTTAAAAATTTTAATATATGCATGTTTAAATTATAAACTTGAATTATAAAATATTATATTTAAAACTTTTCCTTAAAAATAATTATACCATATATGTTTAAAAATTATAAAATTTCAAAATTAATTAAATTATAGTCAAAGGGTGCTTCGACTTTTAATTTTAAATAATTCTTACATATAAGAAACATCTATTATTATATACTTTAGAAGGAATAATTACATAGCTTTAATTAAAATATCTGCTTTAGAGTTACTCATATTTATGAGACGAGAACACAGGCCATTATAACCTTTGTAAAGTTAAAATAAATTTCTATTAATTAGTTTAAATATTACATTTATGACTTATACATTTTTGACACATGTATTTATAATATATGTGTAATGACAAACAATTATGACACACTAGCCAAACACCCGTTTTATGCACGGGTTATGTTAAAAATGATTAAAATATGAAATTAACAGTACTGTATGTTTGATTAATTAAAAAAATGTAATATACAGTTTACTTGATATATTAAAAATTAAATAATATAATTAATAAAAATGTAATTTTTATATATCATTTAGACATTTTTAAAGTATTGAATCAAATAATTATGATCAGCAAAATTTGGTTTCTAATAAATGCATCATGTGTGGTTGTGATTAAAATAAAATCATATATTATAATTAATTTTATTTTATTTAGAAATATAAAAAATACATAATTTTAATTAAATAATTAGTAGCGTATGAAATGTGTGTTTCAACATTTTTAGTAGCAAAAAAATATAACAAGAACAAAATTGTGAAAATTATAGTTAAGTTATTATAATCGATCTCTTTTTTATAGTGAGTATATTAACAAGTATTTGGTTTATTGATCTCGACAGTTGATCAGAATTTGAAATGGGTTGATAGATGATGTATGTTAGACTGGAACCAGTGAGGAGGAGGGGGATGTACCTGCAAGTCACTTCGACGCTCAAGTAAGAAAGAGTATAAAGAGATACAAGAAAGAGATTAGGGTTTCTAGAGTGAATATTGGATGTTTGTCTCTCACAAGTGTGAGGGTTTATATAGTGCCTCCGGCGCTTGGCCATTGGTTCCTATTTTTGGGCTTAGATATTAGGTTCCTCAAAAATTGGTAACTGTCTGGAATTGGTCAAGACGGGCAGAGATGCTCGAAACTAACCGTTATGTCGAGCATATGTGCTCACGGGAAAAGATGACTCTGGCCATTCCTGGGTGGTCGTCCTCGCGTGACCGACAGGTCGAGGACCAACCCATTTGAGCGATCATAAGTGATTGCACAGACCCTGGTGGTTTAGTCGGCCAAGGCTCCTTAAATGAGGGACAGAGGGGATAAAATATCCTTTATCCCTCATGGTTTATTGGGCCAAATTTATTGGGCCGTTCTTCATACAGAAGTGGATTGGGTCCGGCTTAGTCATTGGTTCAGTTCAGAACAAGAATCTCCCAAGTCGTTACTCTTAGACGTAAGAATGATGACTTAGAGTCAACCCGTGTGTCGAGGAGGTGACAATGCTTTTGGTGCCCGTCGTGGAAGACGAGGACGCTTCAGGTTGTACCTGTGGACAAGTATGTTCGGGGAGCCCAAACGTGGTCTCGTGTGCTCGGTGCACAGGGAGCCGAGTGGTTGATTGAACTCTGAGAGATTGTGTGTCACACCTGCATCGAGCCGTGTGTTGCCATTAATGTGTAATGATGGCAAGTCTATGGACTATGGCATAATGATAACGAACCCTAGGCTCCCCTAGATGTGTGTGATAACACGAAATTATATCATATATTCGACTTGACTCGCATGCATTTTAGTTACATTTTTGTTCATTTTTATCTTGTTATGTCAGTTGTGATACGGTGGCAGAACCGACTGTTAATACTGGTTTTTACGTTTTTTGTTTGCAAATGTCGCGGTAAGCAAGAGTGGCCACCGACTTTTCTTTTATCCAACAAAGGAAAGGGTGAAAAGAACAGAAAAAGACATTTTTCAAGATTTTCTGAGTAAGGGGGTAGATTATGGAAAGGGAATGTGTTAGCATCCTTTCCATCCATGGTTTTCCATGGGCTCTTAGGTACTTGCTCATTTTTGAAATTGCTTTCGTGTTTGTGTGGAAAAGTTTTTAAAATGCCTTAGTGCGGCGATTTACTTTATGGTAACTCTTGTATCAGTCCTCAAGAGTGTGATAAAGTGTTTTTGAAAACTTTGTTTGAAAAGTGTTTGAAAGTGTGGTGTGAAAATTTGTTTGAGCAAGTACCTAACAGTTATCTATCTACTTGAAAAAGACTGTTCTTTTCCTCCTATCCTTTAGACTGTGTTATCCTACTATTAGTGAGTAGGTAACCCTAGTCGTTGGATGTTGAAGGACTATCGAAAGGGACGTAATGGTCATTGAAGGCAACATGTAAGGATACCTTAGCATTTCGAAGGGACTATCGTCATAAGATCATTTCTCATAGGCAACTCGAGGGACATTTAGGGACTATGATTTTTATGATGACTTTAAACTTAGGGTCTTTGCTAAGAGTATCCCTACGTTCGAGGGAAATGACCATTGTTTCTGAGGCAACTAAAGTGGGAAATACCCTAGGGGTGCGTGTGCGCAAAAGTGTGCTTTTTCAGATATATCTATCTTGAATTTAGTGATGTATTGATTAATTACTCATACATGCCTAGGTTGCTAGCAATTATATACAAGCATATAAAACATAAAAGCGAGAAAATAGAGGGTCCTACGCTATTACAGGACTTTGGTGTAGATACATAAAGAATTGACTGAAAATAAAATGCGGAAATAAAAAACCTAATTAGTTATTACAAACTGGGCGCAATTACATAACTGATAAAAATAATCGTACGACAGAATAATAACGCGTGAGAATAAAAATTGAAATATGTTTGAAACCCTAAAAAACCTAATTTGATCATTGAAAGTATTTTTGGGATTTTTGTGAAAAAAGATTTGAAGTTTGACCTAATTTTTCTAATTAATTTTAATTAATGAAACAAATTAAAGTTGATGAAATTAATTAACTTACAAAAATTAATTTATTGAAAAAAAAGCTAAATCATATTTTTTGTGATGTTGATTTTATGATTATATGAAAAAATTGATTTAAACAAAAATAAATAGACTAATTTAAATAAAATAAAAATAACAAAATCAAAAGGGAAATAGAATAAGTCTGAGGGGGTATGTTGTACCCAAAAATTTGCCCTCCCATATTCTTCAAAGATTTGCCAAGTCAAGCTTCAAAATTCCCCAAGGGTTGCACAGTTCAAGGGTCTCCTAAACAGTCAAAATTAGGGTTTTTGTTTTGATCAAGAAAATGAAGTTTCCAAGGGCCCAATCAAGTCCCACATGCCTACAAATATGGTCAAGCATCCTCATATCAAGTTTCAAGACTTTCGGCACAAAATTGCACAGTCAAAACCCTAATTACACTACAGTCAACTGTAGGGGCAAAATGGTCATTTGACAGTCAAAAGTTCAAATTTTTGGTCAACATCTCATTTTGAATCCACAAACATCATTTGATCAATGATTGATCATGATTCTCAAAGCTAGGCTCAAAAATCATCAAGATGCAAAAGTTTCCTTATTTGGACAGCTGAAAAAGTCAATTGTAAATTGACCAAGGCATAACTTTCACATGGATTATCAGAAAAATTCCATCCAAATCTCATTTTGAATAGAAAGACATTTCCTACAACTCATCTTCATACTTCAAGTCCAAGAAATGCTCTCACAAAAAGTTATCAATTTCAACATTATAAGTCATTTTCAAAAGTCAACAAAAAGGGACTTTAAGTCAATGGCAATAACTTGAGATTGGTAAACCAAAATGACATGGGACCAAAGGCATTGGTTAGAGGACTCAAAGACCTTTCCAAAATGTCCAAGAACATGAGCAAAGCTTAAAAATTGAGCAAGATATGCCTTGTGGAAGTTGGGAAATTTTTGGATATTTTGAAAAGTCAACATTGGTTCAAATGACCTAAAATTGCTAATGGGCCTATTTTTCTTCCACAATTCACTATCCAGGGCATGTGCACGACCACTTGGCCCAAAGGGAAGTATTTCTTCATTTTTTATTTATTTATTTGAATTTTTATTAATAATAATTCATTTAAATCAAATTAAATACATGAAAAATATTTAACCTAAGTTTTACAATCTTTTTGTGCATGAAATCTACTCAATAATTCGTGTATAATTAAATAGGGAAAGATTTGGAGAGATTGGATCATGATTGGTACAAAATTGCATAAAAAAGATTGAAAAAATAATGCTTGAAAATCAAATCTCATAAATCATCAATGCATGGATTTTGATCAGAATTCTTAACCTAATTCACTCTTACATAAGCATAGAACAGAACCCTAATGAAAAGGACCATTAAGCTGCGCAGAAAACCCATCATCAAACTTGAAATTTTGGCAAATAAATTCAAAACTGAAAACACTTTTGCAAGGGGATTCAAGGCATAATAGCGGTTCAAACATCTTCCTGGAGGTTCACAGAACGATTTCCAATCCAAAACATTCATCAAAACATCAGGAATTGGTAAATCGAGGGTGAACTGTATCACTTTTTTTACATAATCGTATTCCATGATTTAGACCATATCATTGCATTTTGTTCATGATTTTGTACTAATTACTATGTTCTGAAGCTAACCACATAACTTGATTGAAGTTTTGGGCATTGTATGCGAATCTGCCATTGATAATATTTAGGGTTCTTCAACCTTCAAATTGGGGGTTTTGAAATAAGGAAAAATTGGAGGCTGAGACCAAAGCCATTGAATTCAACGCGTTTGGACGAAGAAGACGCCACCCTCGCGCCTAATTTATGAGCGCCCTAGAGCTAGTCGCTATTT